GGCCCACCTCTGTACTTTACGGCGCCGATTGGGGTGCAACCGATGTCTCTGTTGAGGCGGCCGATGAGAAATCACAGCAGGAGCTCGAGGACGATTTCGATAATTTCACCATCACTAAAGCAGATGACTTGGCGCAGCCATTGGTGGATGCGAATATTCCGTTCAAGATCCATATAGTGAAGGATCATGATATGAAGGAGAGGTTGTGTTTGGAAGTGGAGAGGCTTGGGTTGAGTGCAGTGATCATGGGAAGCCGGGGGTTTGGGGCATCAAGGAGGAGCACGAACGGGAGGCTTGGGAGTGTGAGTGATTACTGTGTGCAGCGCTGCATGTGCCCAATTTTGGTGGTGAGGTATCCCGATGAGAAAGACGGGGGCTTTTCTAATGCTGTTGGCGTTGGCAATGGGGGTTCGGCTAAGGCGGCCGATAAGGATGATTTAAGTCTGCATCCAGTGCCCGAGGAGGAGCCGGAGTACCATGACGCTCCAGACAAATCTACAGGTATACAATAATTATGGGATATGTATATGAGCATCAATTTTAGATATTAATGTCTGTTTCTATTTCTGAGTTTCTTTTATGGAAAGTTCGTGTTTTTGAATCGTAATATTGCACTAAATGAGAGACGAAATCCAGAGATGGTGCCAAGATTCAAGCGCAGGGCTAGTACTAGAGTTTTCTTAGAGGAACTTTGACAATAAGTACGAAGAAATTTTATCTATTTAAAAGGTAAAACAAACTTAGTTCGCATGCACCTTACCTTTCAATATGATATAATTGACATAATATTTTAACTTAAAAGGTTAAAAAGAAAAGACAAAAAGAAGTAGGAAGAATATTTGGGATGATGGAGAGCATTATCCAATATCATTAAGAGCATTGAGTTTAATTAAAAAAGAACAACATTAATCTTTTCATGGAGAAATTGAAAAAGAAAAAATGCTACCTCGTACCTCGTTAAGTTTCTGCTGTTTAAAAAGTAGCAGCTTCAACAATTAATAATAGACTAATCCCACTGAAAGCCTATGAAAATTATGGGGAAACAATTCCTTTTTCATAAAGATATTTACACAATAAATAATGGTAACAAATGAATTTCATAGTTCTACCTGATTAAGTTTCTATATAACATGTATATGGAAGAATCTTGACAGGAATAGTAGAAAACTTGAAAATCCAATATTTTATCAAATGTCAGTTGCGGTAGGGTTTGGATTTATGAACAGAGCAGGAATGGATTGGAGATGGAAAGAAATTGAGAAAATATTAACTGAAACACAAGGGAAATGGTGGAATTTTTGGGGTTCAATTGGAATTTGAATGTTTGATTTTTATTTTTATTTTTTCAGGGTGGAGTAGGCGTGAAGGAACTTGGGTTATAGGGTTATGGATCAAGAGGTATAGGTATTAGCTTAAAATTGAAAGCAATTAATTAGGCTAACAATCTTCTCAGGTAGGAGCTGACTAATTTTCTTTGTGGTGGGCTACAAGTTATTTTATGCTGGGCCAATGTAAATATTCTCCTTTTTAACATTTTTTTATAGCCCATGGCTGCCGCTCAAATCTACTCCTGATAAGACCACTGTTTGGATTTGTTATGATGGGTTTTGCTGATGGTTGAGTGAGAAAGTGTGCCTTTAGCTTGGAAAGGGTTGTTGTGGCTGGGGTTGGAAATGATTTAGAGGTGTAACTGTGCAATGGGGGTTGGTCCTACGTGGATGTACTTAGCGTTGCACTTTAAGTCTCTCTTAAGTGAAAGGTAGTTCGAATTGCTGGGATGCGAGTTTAGATAGGCTAATGGTGCACGAAATAGCCTTTGCCCTAACGGGCAAGATGGGTTATTCACTGGAAGTGTGACGAATAAGATTTTAGATTCAGAAGAACTTGTTAACAGCCTTTGTAAGGAAATATAATTTGACACATTCCTAAAGAGCCACATTAATTGATTCAAAAACTCATTAAATCCGGAAAGAATGAAGCAGAAACTCGTTAATTCAAAAGAGAACTGAGAGTTTGGATAGAAATTAAGAATGCTCAAAATTTATTCAATATTTTATTTTACTTGGCCTACCATAATGAGTCTTGTTTAAGCTACAATTTAGACTGAAAAGTTATAGGACGTTAGTTAGAACTTGGGATACTACTTAGAAACCCAAAAGGTTTTAGTATAGTAGGACATAGGGAGTAACATTAGAAGATTGTGCTATCCTAAAATCGATTGTTCTTGTATCTAGATTAGGATGAATGGAAACTGTTGCTGGAAGTCTGTGATCCTATAAAGTTGAAATGCTAGTTGACGCAGGAACATACCAATTTGACGAAAGAAAAAC